GGCCAAATTTTAGATGAATATTCTCGAACTTGACATTCGCAGGACCTATGCGTCAACGTTTACTCTCGTACCACTTGGCTCAATCTATTGGGCCCACCAGCATTACTGTTGCCTGGAAACCCATTTCCGCTCTCTTATTGTGATTCCCCCAATAACAATTCTGATGCCGTGAATATACGGTCTAGTTACTCTGTTGGACAGAGAGGAGGCAATTACATTACTAAGACATACAATGCGACGGTTGCTCAAAAAATGCCCTGACTTACGTTTTGTCAAGTCCGCCGTACTGTTGGAATCGGCTGGAAGATTCAGTGGCGCAATGAAAATCGCAGTCACCAATCCTTCCGTCCACGTCTTTGAAAGGTTGCCCCCGCCTTCCTGCCTTCATACCTTATCCTAGCTTATCCAATCTCAGTTCACCTCATGCTAACAAACAATGCCTTCATGGCAATATCACATTTATTTTTAACCCAGATTGACAGTTGAAGCATTCTCCTGTTGGCCTACTTCTTCCTCCGGACTGACATTCTCCTGTTGGCCTACTTCTTCGATCCTCCGGACTGTTAAAGGGAACAGAACGGTCACTCATGGCCTGTTACCCTAATTCATTGAGTTTGAGCACTCGAAGATTTTTATGCCGTTTGGCCTGCATGAAATTCGCATAATACTAGCCGCAACAACAGAAAACAGTACAGTCGGCAAACGCAACGAACACTAGCTGCGCCAAACGCGCCAGTTGGCTAAACGAAACTTCCAAAGGCATACGGTAAATGTGTGAATTGCTTAGTAATAGAGCCACTGCTAATTATGGTCCAGCGTCGGACGATTCTATAAACAGGAGGTCAAAATGCCAAACCCATCGCCTCGTGACACTTTTCCATACCTATCCGATTGGCCAGTCCGACCCACTGTTCCGCCCAGCTAGATGTCAAGTAGGCTGTGGTCAGTTCAGACGGACGGAGAGAATCTGTCTCTTTCCAGCCTGTCGATGGTGCTGGGTACATACTACTTGCACCCAAATAGGGTGCAATTTTGGTCGGTCCCTAAGATCGTCCCTTGTATAAAGCATTAGACTGCCCTATTTGATAAAGTATTTGGTTTCATGGTCGACGACCATTTACGGCCAAATTTTAGACGAATATTCTCGAAATTGACATTCGCAAGGCCTATACGTTAACGCTTAATCTCGTGTCACTCAAGAATACTTGAATGTTAATTGTTACGTTATACCTTCAACCTTTGGTGCTTTACCTAAAGTCAGCACTATAACATTTCAGTTTTTTGGCCGGATGTTTAAAACTGCTTCCTTTTTTTGAAAAACCGCTTTGACCAGAATGACTGCCAAATTTTGGTGACGGTGAAGGTTGCTGACGTGTTCGAGAACCGACAGCTCTGGAATTGTCCAAACTACACAAAGGTGTCAAATTGATTACAGGCACTTAAAATTTTAATGCGATTAAGCTCGATAACAGGCTGCGTTGCGTATGAGAAACAGTTTAATTGAGAAATGTGGTGATTCTAGTATGCATTGATTTCTGACCATAGAAAGCTTAACTAGGGTTGATTTCAGAGTGGCAAGTTTAATCAGCAATGAAAAAGACACAATGATGGTCACACGCCGATGTTTAGCTATCCGGTTAGGCAATATTAAACACAAGAAGACCTGAAAAGCTAGTTCATGTGAAACGGTCTATCTGGCAGATTCAAAACACTCTGGTATCGTTCTGAACTCACCAACCACCCAAAGTTTTAATGGTAAATTCTGCACAAGACATTGTATTTATTTGTGAGTTTTTATTATAATAGAGCGTGCATTAATACATGATTCTGCATGGACAATCCTAAAATACGGCTCACCGACCCCAAGGTAAATCAATGTAAGCTCCACGCTTATGTTGTGACATAATTGGTCGTAGTTCTTCGTCCCATATTACGCGCTCTGGGGGTATGTGCTCAAAAACACTCGATCGTTTTCCCCACGGAAGATCCAAGTACGCGCCCCGTTTGTCCTCCGAAAAACGAGGCAAAATTGCAGCCAGTGTACCACAAAGTAGATAGGCAATCAGTCCAACTGGTATTATGATTTTCTGTAGATTTGACATCGTGGTATGACTGGAACAGATGAGGACATTCGGTAGTGTTCAAACAAACGCTTGTTAAATTGATAATTTGAGAACTGTCTGATCAATAGGTTATACATGTGTTGTCCCAAAGCAAGTAGATTTCAGTTGACAACTTAATGTTTACACAACCAAACACTGTTTAGGCTACCTAATGAGCTAACAACAAAAGTGAAACCTCTCAGTGAATTGAAAATTTTGTGTCCAACTGCATGTTTTATCATTATCACCCGCAGCCTGAAATTTCTAGGGAGTAATTAAATTTTTGCGAATGATAAAATTTAACTGCTTGCGTTTATGAGGCTCAGTTAAACTATCATCACGTTTTACTGAGTTTCGAATATCCGGCGAAGTAAGATGGTTTGACTAAAAAAAATGCTGTGAGAATATGAACAGATCTTCTACATATAGTGCGTATAACTGCAAGTATATAGTTGCAAGTGTACATGCAGTGGTACATGAGTGAGTAAACGTTACTATTCAGCGCTTTAAAAAGTATCTTCAAGGTACAAAAACCAGTATGATTCCTTGACTGCATATTCATTTTAAATCAGTCTACATTTCAGTTTTTTGGCCGGATGTTTAAAACTGCTTCCTTTTTTTGAAAAACCGCTTTGACCAGAATGACTGCCAAATTTTGGTGACGGTGAAGGTTGCTGACGTGTTCGAGAACCGACAGCTCTGGAATTGTCCAAACTACACAAAGGTGTCAAATTGATTACAGGCACTTAAAATTTTAATGCGATTAAGCTCGATAACAGGCTGCGTTGCGTATGAGAAACAGTTTAATTGAGAAATGTGGTGATTCTAGTATGCATTGATTTCTGACCATAGAAAGCTTAACTAGGGTTGATTTCAGAGTGGCAAGTTTAATCAGCAATGAAAAAGACACAATGATGGTCACACGCCGATGTTTAGCTATCCGGTTAGGCAATATTAAATACAAGAAGACCTGAAAAGCTAGTTCATGTGAAACGGTCTATCTGGCAGATTCAAAACACTCTGGTATCGTTCTGAACTCACTAACCACCCAAAGTTTTAATGGTAAATTCTGCACAAGACATTGTATTTATTTGTGAGTTTTTATTATAATAGAGCGTGCATTAATACATGCTTCTGCATGGACAATCCTAAAATACGGCTCACCGACCCCAAGGTAAATCAATGTAAGCTCCACGCTTATGTTGTGACATAATTGGTCGTAGTTCTTCGTCCCATATTACGCGCTCTGGGGGTATGTGCTCAAAAACACTCGATCGTTTTCCCCACGGAAGATCCAAGTACGCGCCCCGTTTGTCCTCCGAAAAACGAGGCAAAATTGCAGCCAGTGTACCACAAAGTAGATAGGCAATCAGTCCAACTGGTATTATGATTTTCTGTAGATTTGACATCGTGGTATGACTGGAACAGATGAGGACATTCGGTAGTGTTCAAACAAACGCTTGTTAAATTGATAATTTGAGAACTGTCTGATCAATAGGTTATACATGTGTTGTCCCAAAGCAAGTAGATTTCAGTTGACAACTTAATGTTTACACAACCAAACACTGTTTAGGCTACCTAATGAGCTAACAACAAAAGTGAAACCTCTCAGTGAATTGAAAATTTTGTGTCCAACTGCATGTTTTATCATTATCACCCGCAGCCTGAAATTTCTAGGGAGTAATTAAATTTTTGCGAATGATAAAATTTAACTGCTTGCGTTTATGAGGCTCAGTTAAACTATCATCACGTTTTACTGAGTTTCGAATATCCGGCGAAGTAAGATGGTTTGACTAAAAAAATGCTGTGAGAATATGAACAGATCTTCTACATATAGTGCGTATAACTGCAAGTATATAGTTGCAAGTGTACATGCAGTGGTACATGAGTGAGTAAACGTTACTATTCAGCGCTTTAAAAAGTATCTTCAAGGTACAAAAACCAGTATGATTCCTTGACTGCATATTCATTTTAAATCAGTCTACTACTCTTTGAGAGTTTGGCTTATAATAACCGTTCTGGATAAGAAAATGTGCTATCCTCACCGATATCCTATCATGGTACACAAAGTCACAAACAAATATTGTCAATAATCCGCGATGCACACCAGGTGATTGGCCACTGAGGGTTGTGATATATATATATATATATATATATATCTGTCACTAACCTAACCTATAAAATGTCTCTTTCCCATTTTGGTCCCAAAATAAGACAGCGTACTGCTTGTTCAGAAGAATAACGGACTTGCCAAGCTTACCTTACCAGCCTAATGAGTTGTTCTAGTGGATGTTGTTTTCTAGTCCACTGACTGCTCTCTTTGCGGCAGTCACTGACCATGTGTTGACAATACTTCTTGTGAGCCCATGACCAGGTAGTCTAATGACCCACTGTTCCACGAAGCCTATTTGAAGTAAGCCACTTCCTGAGGTTGGTTTTTGAAATTATTTAAGAGTTCTTTCCCAGAGTGATTAAAGATTTCGCAAAAGTTGTAATTTTTATCGACGTTTAAGATGATGAGACATTGTGATAGGATATTCCTAATCGCTGATAACTTTAATGAAACATAATTTAATTGGGAATTATATATGTAAACGAGGCGCAGAAACAAAATGAGAAGGTACATTTTTGATTAAATTCGCAGGATAAACCTTCTGTTACACAAAATGGACAATTAAGAGTATTCCATACATCACGGCTGTATACATTTGTCTTACCGCTCTTTTTTGAGCGATAGTATTTTGTGGATATATCTAGCCCTTCACATTTAATTAAACAATCAACGAGCTAAAACAGTCTCGACTACTATTCACTGAATGGAAAGATTCTCATCCAGATAGGATTCCTTTGTGTTTCCGTATGTGTGCACATTATTCAATGTTTGAGGATAGCGGAGGAATATAGGTGTACCATTATGTTCTTAATGTGGCACATTTAGTATCCCACAAGTTGTAATAAGGAGTTTTGAAAAATTTCTCGCAATGGCCGCTACAATTAAATACCAACACAGTAGGTCACATTTTCCGTAAACCTTACAGGTTATAAGTAAATACTTTAATTGGTAAAATTATTAGAAATGGCTTTTCAATCGGCTACAGAACAGAAAATCATTTACTACAACAGAGCTCACAATCGACGTGACTTTCTGTCTTGGTAAAATTTACACACTACACTCGGGTGTGGCAAAATTAATACAAAATTTTTAGGCAACTATGTCAAACTACTTGTTGATATTTTTTCTTCATTTGAATGAACTGCGAAACAAACGTTGCTAGATGTTTTACCATGTTTATGGCAATGTTAGTGGACCAGGTTGAAGGACACAAGAATGACTTCACACACATGTACTCGCACTTCGTATAGACATGGCTTTATCTGAATTTCTATATGCTTCACACGATTATCCAGCAAAATCGGCTTTTTGTCAAGGAAGGCCACCTCCTGTTGAACAAAATTTTTCTAAATTCCCACAACGTTTTTTTCGAATTTTGCAATATTTCATGGAACACACTGCTCTCTTGGCCTACAGTAGCCAAATATTTGGTTGTTAGCAGATCTAGATTTGTAAAAGCAGGTGTGATGAAGACTGTCGCTTTGCGGCGTCTGTGAAGTTCGAATCCACAGCTATTCTTCTGGAGCGGAAATCCTACAGCTTCAACTATTCCAGCTACCTGTGTCTTGCATAGCTCAAGCGTTGGCTTCGAAGTGCGGATGAACACCAAGAATATCACGGATGTGCACTGCTACTAAGCCTGAATGAAATCGGAGACGAATTACAACTCGTTCATGTTCGACTTGAGCAATGCACATATCTGTCAAATTAATTCTGACGCACACGCAGAGGCATCTATGTTTTCCGCCTTTCAGAAGGTTTCAGTGGCCAGACGTAACAACCAATATTTTGTATCGACGCATGTTATGTAACGCACTTGTAGTCCCTAATTTTCAAACAATAGTTTATTCCAAGTCCATGTAGGCTGTTTTTGTGAGAAAATGCTTCCAGGCAGAGAAAAGTAAAAAAACGCGAATCTAACCTCCAATAAAAGACTCACCTTTTACTGTACGAACAACAATGGAAGTTATTGTGCAATCGCCACTTTTATATAGGAATTACCGGTTGTACCCAATGGGATGACTTGTTTTTGCAAGCACACAGGGGGGGTTGGCTATGATCCACTTATTGCTATCACCTCTTTCCC